TTTTTTTTTTTTTCCTTTTAGACGAAAAGTAAATGAGATCAATGGAAAAATACTTATCGGTTTATCTATAGATTGAACCTGGATCGAAACAAAAATATTCTTCCAGTTCCCCTTTTTCCTCTTCTTTTTCCTCTTCCTCTCACTTACTTACACCCAGAACTGGTTGTTCTTTTATATCTATGTATATTTACTTACACCTGTACATGATGGTGCCAACCTGCAGTAACTCCTAAGAATTCTTCTTCTTCTTCTTAAACTCTTATTGAGAATAAACTACATTGTCCAGTATTTCATGACAGGATCTCCCAATGGTTCACGATGAGCACGTGTGAAACGTCCATGCGGTGGAACTTTTAACGGTGCAATTTCACGTAGTGGGAGTTTTTTCCACGCCTCTGGAAGTTCCAATATAATGGAGGAACAGAGAAATCCCTCTGTTGAAAGTTTTCTAATGGCGTCCTTTACGGCAATACCTTCCTGACATCTTTTAAGGACACGCTCTATAATATAGTACACATTCACCAATGTCGCATCATCTTCACGTCGCAGTCCGTGGAAGTCTTCTGCCAAGAGAGCGTTTTGTGGATTAAGTTTGCAGCAATTTGCAGCGTTATCAATAATCAACAAACGATCCATATCACGTCCAAGTAATCGCAAATCTTTTGTATGTAATGGTTCTGTAAACCAAAGGTCACTGCGATATATGACTTCATCAAATACAGGTCCACTTCCACTTAACTGTTCTACCACAGGTGATGCCGTTTCCTTAGTGGATGCTGTCCACAATACAACTTCCAAACCTTTCATGTGACGAAGAGCATTAAGTACATGTAAACAATACGGACGCAGAATGGCAGCAGAAAGATTCATGTCTCTATTACAGACGAGAGTTTCATCAAGATCAAACACGACTGTTAGTGTTGGACACGTCTCATGTGCCTCAAACTGTGGTAATAAGTAATTCTGGAATAAAGGTTTAGCCAAAGTACCGAAACGTTCCCGATGGTTTATTACTCCACTACGTTCTCCTGATCCAGTAATATCCTTTAACCGCCTACGTAGAGATGATGAAGTACGAGTGAATGAAGTAGTACGACTTGACGTAAGGCTTGATAAACCACGTGAGGAGATATCTGTTAAACCGCCACTTTTCGCTGATGAAGGAGTCTTTTGAGTAGATGCTAAAGCAGATGTAGAATCTGAAGAAGCAATACCAGCGGCACTCCCACCACGATCCTTGTATGGTGATGCTGCCAATGTATCCATTGGTACTCTTGATGAACGCAACTGACTGTGCCAATATGACTTTATCACACTTGTCGGTCGGTTCTGATAAAATGTGTCAAGGATTCGTCGCTCCGTTGGGGAATATTCAGACATGGAAGTAGTGGTAAAGTTTAATACAGTTGTGTGCACAAGCTACCCTATCTATCTATCTATTTTTCTTTCTATATATTATATATTATATATAGATATATTATATTATATTATATTATATATATATTCCTAATTTGGTGAATATGTAATATCCAATATCGTCTAGAATGCGTGGATGTAGATCTACGTTTGTGAAGTCGTCCTCAGATAAGGAGGTGATAAATAATCACCTTTCTCTGATGAACCTCTCTGGTAACGTTTAAGAGTGCTTCTTTTTAATAGTTAACGTAAATATGGGGTAAAGGAAAATAAACAAAAATATCCCCTTTGCTTTGAAAAAAAAAGGATATTTAAATGTTCTAAGGTATTTCTTTTTTTTTTCCTTTCTTTTTTAAAGGTTAGGTGTTATTATTTGTGGTCGTATAACCCAAGTTAAGGACCCAAAACTTACACTGTTTCCTTCTATTATATCTATATGATGATGATGATTATTATTATTGCACTCCGACAGTAGATGCCACAACCCCGTTTATATCTCTATTAACGTAAATGGATGGTAGAAGAGACCTAAAAGAAGAAGAAGAAAAAAAAAAAAGAAAGGAAACAGAAAGAAAAGAAATAATAAGAAAGAGATTTACTCAATTTGAGAGATAAATTTAAAAGTTAGACTATAAAAATATAGAAACTGGGGATGCAAATATATCAAATATGGAGCAAAGACAAACTCGAACGCATAAAGTTCACATCCACAACAGTGGTTTAATGTGACGCGTAATTGTTTTTTCTTTGTTTCTTTATATATACATTGTTTTTTTTTTTTTTTCTTTTTGGAAAATGAGAAATAGTGATCTTCTATCCTTTTTTCTTTTTTTTTCAACTACCTTCCTCATGCTTTTTTTTTCTTGATACCTTCACAATTTCTTTCACTTTCTCTCTTCACTCACTTCAGGCGCTTTTTTTTTTTTTTTTTTTTTTTTTGTTCTTGTGGTTTTTGATCATTTATCTTGATTCTTCTTTCGTTCTTGTAGTTCCTGAGGTTTCTGTCTCAGAGATCATCTATTACCGAGATAGTACATGTAAATAAACTGAAGTCACTCATCGCAAGTATAGGGGACTCTTTCTTTTTTTTTTATATATATTTATTCTTCTTTCTTCTTCTTGTTGTTTGCTACTGCAAACTATGCATACGATGGCTTTCTTCTTCTTCTTCTTCACTCTTTCATGCTTCCTTCTTCACGCCACCTTACGACTGCCCCAGTAGTACTCTATCCTTTAAGGTTATATCTATCAGTCGATTTAGTTTGTCCACTTCAAGCTTGCGAAGACTCTTCGGGTCATCGGGTTCACCCTTCTTTGGTTTACACAGCGTACGTAAATTAGGTGATAATTTCAATATAAGTACAGACCCTCGTGAGTCGCCTACCAACACGACAGGATCTTGTTTGTGGAATACAACATGGGTAAGTTTCGCGTTTTTCACAACAGTCTGTGTACACAATGGTTCCCGTTTGTTTTTATTTAAATCAAACACAAAAACTTTTCCATTTGAGGTAACGGCTGCGAAGACAGTAGAGCTGTATGGTGCCCATGCAATGTCCCCCACACAATCACCCACATCAAATGTCAATAATGGTTGTGTAGAACTCTTCAGCCACAACTTCACGGTCCAATCAGCGGAACAAGTAAGAAATACATCTGGATGGAAGGGATTCCATCGACACGTATACACTGGCATTGTATGTCCATCATAACGCTCCAGACATTGTCCATTATATCCTTTACTGCACAACATAACAGATCCCTCTTGCGTACCAACAATAAAGAGGCTATCGTATGTGGCAGAGAAATCAAAGCAAGTACCACTTAATCTACTAAGCAGCATTGCTTCAGGGTCAGAAGGACATGCCCCTGTTGTGATAGTCATAACATCTTTAAATATCAATTCTTTTTTGTGTACAGACCAACTGGTAATACGTCCATCAGTACTGATGGAATAAAACTGGAGATCTATAGTGCGACGACACCAATGAATCTCCCAAACAGGATCGGTGTGTTTACCAGAGCGCACATCTGCCTGACAAATTGGTTTTGTACTTTCTTTTCCATCTTTACCTTGCATACGTAAATCAAATACGCAAACAGATCCATCATATAAACCACAAGCAAGTAAAGCAGTTTCTTCAGGATGAAAAGCAAGACACATAACTCCACTTTCCACATTAAAAGATATCTCTGGATGTGCTGGCATTGGGTTTCCAGGTAGAGTTGGTACTGAATTTTTAAGAGAAAAACAGTGAACGGCACCTTTCCCTTGCCGTTGGAAATCATAGCTTCCATAACCAACGGCAAATAAATCCATATAGCGATTATTCAAGGCAATACTAGTGACAGCACGATGCTTCACTTTATTCGTAAAAAATTGCCATAATGGAAGAAGATTTCCATCTTCCTTATACATATCACTCTCATCTTCCCAGTATTTAAAGTCTTCAATGATATCATAGCAATCATTTTGGTTAACCATCCTCTCAACAATTTTAAGAGCATGACGAAACCCAGTTGAAGTTAAAACTTCCTCTGGAGTTTTAATATCATTGGATTCCTCAACAATAGGAATATGTTTTTCATCTTCTTTATTACTGCGATGGGTAGCTGCCTTTTTCTGCGCTGCTGCAGCCTTTTCATTTTGAATACGATCCTCTTCATAAGCATCATAGATTTCCCATGCAGTTGCCATGGCGCTGAAATTCATTGATGGTGGTGGATCTGTTACAACACATTGTTCCTTTATCGGATTGTTCATCGTTTGACTGCCGCGTTCTCTGTAGTTAAACTGATTTTTAAGAATACTTGTTGAGACACCTTCATCCACCAAATCTGGATTTAACTCTGCGCGTGCGGCGAGCTCTGTTTCTTGCTCACGGCGTTGTCTATCCTCCGCCTGTTGCAGTGCCTCTGGATCGTCCTTGCGTACAGTACTGCCGTCCATGACGAGGTGCTTTGCGGTTTGGCCCACACTGGGAAAGAAGCGGTACACCCGCGCATCTCTCTTGTAATCAAAGTACACCGGTGTGGACATCACGGAGGGATCGGTGCCCTTCAGAATGCGCTCCACCACCGCCTCGCGGTCTTCGTCTTCGGCCCCCACGCCCGTCGCGACTGCAGTTGTGGACGTCACGCCCGCATCGAAGGATCCGCCGGACGCATAACTCCCACGACGATTCCCGCCGGTAAGATAACTTGTGCGGTGTGTTGTATTATCCATATATATATATATAGTTATATAGTTATATATATATATGAGTGTGTAGAGTGGTACTGCTGTTAGTGTGTATTTGTGTCCCGTTCTATCAAAAGGAAAGTTGAATTGGAGAGGGGAGGGACTGTCTTGCGCTCACACAGAGGTGTTCCTTTCCTACTTTCCAATAGTTTTAAGAGCAAGAAATGGAATAACCCAACAGAAAGAAAGAGAGAGAAAGAGAAAAAGAAATAATATATAATAACAAATACATGTGGAAACAAGTAAAAAAAAAAAAAATTAAAATACAGAGTGAAAGTGATAAATTAATGGTGATCATCTCTCTCAATGTGTATGTGTAAATGTATGTTATTTGTGTTTGTCACAAAGTAGCAAATATAGTTCAACCCCAAATCAAAGAAATACATTTTAACAAATAAGGAAAACAAGCCTTATCAGCAAAAGTGGCTGATGGCCAGAAAATTTATTATATTTCTTTTTCCTTGTCGTTGTTATTATTATTGTTGCGTGCGTATCTATGTATGTATGTGTCTTCGTTTGGCTCTCATGTATAGAGTGCGATAGAAAGGAAAATAGACGTATATACACACATAGATAGATAGATAGATAGATAGAGGGGAAAAAAAAGAAACAACTACAATAATAATATCAAAACAGAGGGAAAAAGACTTGTCAGGTAGAAAAAAAAAGAATTTAACCTATATACACTCTCCCTTTTCATACGAAAGAATGGATAAAAAAAATAAAACTAAAGATAAGAAAAAAAAAAAAACTGTGAAAAAAAAAACGAAGAAAATAAAAATAAAGTATTTTATTTCACTCTTCGATTCAGTACAACATATATCCCAAATGTACCCCTTTTCTTTTTTTGTTCTTCTTCTTTTACTTCAATTCCCACAAGTATACACATTATTTATATTTATATTCCCAGAGAAATATATATATAGAGAGAGGAACAACAACAGCGACAAGAGGAAAAGAGGCGTGATCTCCTCCCTTCTTCTCCCTCTGTTTTAGCCAAACCGCAATCTCCGCAACCCCACGTAGTGTGGAATTTGTGTCTCTTCACTATCGTCAAAGGAACTGCGTAGAGTTTCGGGCGGCGGCTCATCACGTGATGTTCCCAAAACAGTGCGCCACGACACGAGCCGCACTTCACCGTCCACGACAATACAAGCACCGGCCCTGTTGGTATCTCCAGTGTAATTGCAGCACGAGAAGAGAGTGAGAATACGGCCGGCGAGGCCCATCTCAATACCAGCCATCTTCTGTTGATGGGCACGTATGAGTAATGTAAATCCCCACCGCTCCATAAATGATACAAGAGCTGAGGCACTAAACTCACGAATAACATTTCGGTGGTCTCCACGACCGAAATTGGTGCGAAAGCCATTTACATCAAATCCATCTTGTTGTGTAAACTCCGTATCGGCCGTACCATTTCCATTATTCCCATATGTACTTGTAGAGAACTGTGGCACCGGATCATTCCAAAGTAACTCACGAATAAGACGTCGGTGTTGTGCTTTTAGATCATTATCATGTACATCCGGCATCATACAACGAAATCTAAACTCTTCCAATTCATTTGGCATGCCGTTTATAAGTAATTGGAAAAATTCCATACATGGTACATCATTCATAAGTTCAACATGATCAGTGTCTTGCTCTTCTTTTTTATTTTCTTCTTGTTTCCTTTGTTGTTGACGCACTCCAAAACCTTTTTTTCCATTTTTCACCTCTCCTGTTTCACTTGATGACTTCTCTCGAAGCAGTGGAATACCACCATGACACGCAAATATTGTGCTGTCAATAATGGCTACAATAGGAAGTTCCGCAAATACATCATTAACGCGATTCCAGAAAATCTCACCATTATCTTTATTAAAAAACTTCCAACATTTCTTTCGAAAAGAAGTTTCTCCATAAAGTTGAATATCACCATTTACCTCTTCATCTTCATGATTACCACGAAGAAGAATAACATTTTCTGGGCACAGAATGTACCAAGCCAATAGGAACAAAACAACTTCAACATCATGAGGACCTCGATCTACATAGTCACCAAGAAATAAAACTGGCATCGTCATGAGAGACCAATGATGAAATGGTACAACATTATCAAATATTGTTTTTAAATCAGAAAAACTACCATGAATGTCACCACAGCAAACAATAGGTGAGCAACGTCTCACAGTTAATGGAGTCTTCTGTAATTCTATCAGTGCATGATCTGCTAAGAGGAGAAAATGTTGAAAAAGGGAATTTTTTGCAGAAGTAGTAAACTGTAAAAAAGTTCCCTCACCTGGTTCATAAGCATCCTCCAAACTCTCCAATACACTTGCTGCTGCAGAACGTACAGGTGTCTCAATCCTTGAAAGGTGGAGACCCTTCAGCATTTCACAACCACGGAATGTAAAGTATGGATCTCCTGGGGTATTACCTCCACGTCCTGATATCTCTGCAACTCCACAGGAGCGAGTGCTAGCACTACGGCTTTGCGTGTTGTGTCCAATCACAGAGTGAAGGGTAGCGCGAAGTCCCCACAACTCCACCACAAATGGTACAATGGTATGAGATGATGGCAATTTATTTTCTGTATTGAATTTCCATTGTGTATCATATGTAGTAATGGATTTTCCATAATTACTAATTGATTTGGAAGAGTTTTTAAAGCTGCTTAACAAAGAAACTGAAGTATGGCATGTTGACATATATTTATTGCTATTACCATTATTGTCATTATCATCGTTATCGTTATCGTTATCATTATCGGATGGTCCTATAATTCGCACCACACGCGGTGATCGAGGAGAGACTCCCTGCTCCGTCACGTTACATGTTGCATTTAACGGTGGAAAGGGTAGAGACTTCTTCATCCCATTTAAATTTAACGCAAGCGGGGAGAACTTTGCAGAAGGCATTGGAGAAATCACTGCTGGAGATGTATGGCTTGTGAAGAAACAAAACGTTGTCCCTTTGTGACGTCCACCAAATGAAACAGGACTCCCCGGATAAAGTTCAATCGGCTCTCTAGATGGCACAACTTGAATTCCATGGATGTACACAGACAGACTACGTGTGGAAATGCTGAGAAGCAAAACGCCATTTGTACTGCAGATCACATGGGCAATATCATGATAGCGGGAAACAACAAGGTGAGAACCAAATACCCGCAGTTTAGGCAATGTTACCTGAACATCACATAAAGGATCCGTTCCAACAATAAGTTCACGTCCTTCCTCAACAACTATGCAGTGTTTATCCCACATGTTGTACCCCTAAGCCCTAAAAAAATGAAATAGAAGAAAGAAAACACCACATAAAAAAAAAAAAAATTTCTTTTTTTGAAAAACAGAAGAAGAAAAAAAAAATAAACACAAAACAAGCTTTACCATCTCATTTAATAGTTTGCACTGCTATTATTACTTTAGATTTATTATTCACGATAAATAAGGGATAACAAAAAAAAAAAAAAAAAAACATAGTAGCAAGATCAAAAAAGTGAAAAAAAGTGATCATGTATATTTGGTAAACTTCACTTTTTTCCCATTTCAGTTCCTCAATGATATCATCATTACTCATTCATTGTGACCGCAATCTATCACGTTGTTTTTTTTTTTTTTTTTACTTATTGTTGTTGTTTTCCATGTTAGTCTTCCTTCTGTTGCACTTTTATGCAACAAAAAACAGTAGACTCATGAGAAATATTATTATTAATTACAGTACAATACACAGCAGTCACCACCCACTTCAGAATAGCGTGGATATCCCACTTAAAGGTGTTCATTTCCCCCTCAAAGGGGTCTACACATCATCTTTACAATAATGACTTTATCCGTGATAAAGTGCAGAATACAATCAGATGTAATAGGAATAAAAAAAAAAGGTTGCAATAGAAGTAAATAAATACTTTCTCATATAGAGTGAATATGCCTTACATCATCAAAGTCGTCATATACATTCATCATAGATACAGTGTCATTCCATTCATTCGCCAGAGACTAGAGCTCATATAAGAGTAACGCAGAGTGAGTACAACAGATAGTAGTCCAAATGAGACACCATACTTATTCCTCTATCTATCTATCTAAGAATGGAATCAGATGTACAAAAAAAAAAAAAAAAGAAACGCAAGAAATACGATCAAAAACAAATCTTGTAATAGAGCAAAAGGAAAAAACAAAAAAACAAATAGCAATAAAAGAAAAAGCCCAAAGGCAATAAAAGTGGAAATAAACGTCCATTTAATATTTGAAAGAAAACAAAAAAAAAAAAAAAATGACCTTTTCAAGTGATCATTGTGTCATCTTTTTCTCTCTCTCTCTCTCGTGTTCTTTCTTTCTTTCACCAGACTAAACTAGAGTTAACAAACGTATTAGAGGCGCCGTTTCTTGGTTGCACTCATTTTCACTGCGCTAGCCACACTACTGAGTGGATCACGTGTCTTCTTAGTTGACCGCCGAGAGGTTGCTGAGGCTGATCGTGCCTTCGCGCTGACACGTTTCCTGTAGTGATCGGCGGAGTCTGCCTTCTCAATGTGCATATAGTGTGGCACATCCAGCAGTGCCGAGTCGCACTTCACTTCCTTTCTAGATCGTGAGAGAATGCGGTGGAGGGCGTCGCCGTCCTTTTGACTCATATGGCTGTTGAGATAGGCACTGCGTGTGAGTTCTGTGGCCACGGCAGCAATACGTTGGCGTCGGGTGGAGGATCTAGTGATACTGGCGAGAATGTTATCAACACGGTACTGCAGCATAGCCGACTCTCTGCGCTGCAGTTGTTTAAACGGCTGGAGGGGGTCTTGTGTTTTGGCGAGATACTCACGCAGCGGCCGCGTCACTTTCTTTGCCTGCTGTAGAGAGAAGAGTGTAATCGCCATGCCACTTTTACCGGCACGTCCGGCACGCCCAACTCGGTGAGTGTAACGCGAAAACGCCGTTGTGGATGGAACTGTAATGCCGTCAAAGAGAATAACATTACGTACATCTGAAAAGTCAATACCACGCTGTAATGCAATGTGATCACTGCTGACCGTGTTTTTCCCCTTCTTGTTTAGCGTAGATGTTGTCACTTCTCCCTCACCTATAGAGGTTTCCTGTAGACGATCGATGCTTTCCAGTGTGCCATCTGTACAGACAAGAGTGTTGGCAGATCCAATTTGAAATCGATGAAGAGCATCCATACGAACATTAAGCGGTAAATTAGAATCATAAACAAGTGCATCGACACCCAATTGTACCAAGAAACTGTGTAATTTGTACATGGCATCTTCAGTACTCAAGAAAATTAATGTTTTTCCTTTAATGTGTCCAAGACGGTACAAGGAATAAAGGAGAGTATGATGATGACACTCATCTGTTGCCACAAGATAGTAATGCTGCAATTTTTCATCCGCTGTTCCTCCACGTACTATCTTACGCGCTTCCACAACGAGATTTTCTCCTGGTGTTGTAATACTCCCATTTTTACCATTATTATTATCATCATTATCATCATCATCATCATCCCCAGTATTCAGTGTGATAGTAACAGGATTGTGAAGTAGTTGTCCTTTTATATGTGCCACTGCGTCTGTAAGTGTTGCTGAACAAAGAATAGTTTGTATAGAGGGTGGCAAAATTGATTGTACAGCTCGTACTGAACTTTCCGCAATGGACATCATTAAATCAACTTCATCAATCACAACACATCGGAGAGATTTAAACTCTTCTGCTGTCAATGTACCATTACGACACTGTTTTCCCAGTAAGGCTGCGGTAGCAATGAGAATTGGAGCAGATGCCAAACGTGCTTTAGTGATAGCCCCACGAGATGTTAAATTATCCACAACAATTCTTGGTTTCACGTACTTTGATAATGCACTAGCCACCTCCACCGTTTGCTCGCATAACTCCACGGATGGTAATAAAATAAGGGCAGCAGGGTTTCGTCCTGCACGACGATTGCACATTTGCTCATTCTCTGTAATAATACGTTGTAAAATTGGAATGAGAAACGCCGCTGTTTTACCGCTGCCTGTGCGAGACTGCACGGCGAGATCACGTCCCTTCAATGCGAGTGGGATGCACGCACTCTGCACTGGTGTTGGTGTTTCCCAATGAAGGCGTTTAACGGCTTCCAATATTCTGCTGTCCAATGCCAACTCCGACCACGTTGTGGAAATCACATTTGATGGTGAGCTAGTCATCCTTTTTTTTTTTTATCTTTTGTTTTGTTGTTGTTTTTTTTTTTTTTTTTTGTTATTATCCTGTCCTTTCTCTTCTTTCTTTCTTTTTTTTTTTCCTCACACCCTCACACTTTCAGTTGGTTTCTTTTTCCTTTGTTTGTTCTTGTCCTTTTCTTTCTTCCTTTATTACTCTACACCAGTACCTTTCTCAGGACCCCCGTATTACACTTTAAAGGATTGTAAAGTAAATAGAAAATAAAATAAAATAAGGGGGAAAAAAAAAATGAAAAAGTGAGTTAGAAATAAGATTTTAAGTAAATAAGGAGGTACTCTGTCTTATTTTTTTTTTTTTTATATAAAGTAAGAACATAAATATCAAGTCAGCAACAGCCAACTCAAGATATGTAAAAACGACTTTTCTATCTCCCTACAATACACTCCGTAAAGAAGAGAGGAGGGGAAAAAAAAAGGAGAAAGAGGAAGAGGAGGAGTAGAGGGTTTCACGAAACAAAGAACATGTCTCTCGGTCTCCACAGCGTGATGCTATTAATATCCACAGAGATCAAGTGACCCTCAAATCCTTCCTGCCAATTCCATGATAAGTCTGTCACATTATCTGTGTGACAGGCATGTTTAAATAGTAGCCGGTTCATTGTAGAGTTAAACACACAACACTTCCCATCACCACCTCCACTTGTAAAGAGATGGCGAGAGTGTGGGCACCATTGTACCACAGATACCGCCTTGTCGTGTAGGCGACTGATACTTACTGGCTCCGAAGATTTACGGAGATCATAGTAAAGTACTTCACCATCTCTTGTACCCACTAAAAGGGATGTACCATCAAGTGGAGAAACAGCAATGGATGAAACACCAACTGGTAATGAAAATAATTCAACAAGTTCTGGTGTTCTTACATCACCAGATAATACTCTCCCAGACTCTGTAGATGTTACAAACATATGCGGTTCTGTCCAAGAAAATGATATATCACTCACCCGAACATCACTTTCTTCTAAAGTATATGTATGAGAAGGATTAACAGTACGTGCATCATCTTTAGAAGTATTAGCAATATGCCAGTAGCAGAGACGACCAATAGATCCAGACATCAAAGTTCCATCAGGGGTAATACTCCAGTCAAGCGTTTCACAACTTCCATTTCCTCCCGAAAGGGTGAGTAAGTGTTGTCCTTCTCCTCTTCTCTTATCCCATCGATCTTGTTCTGCCACCACAGCATTCAAAGCTCGCATTCGTCTGTGATAATTTACACGTTCCTCATCTGTAGGATTTGAGCTAAGTTCATTTGGTGGTAATGGGGCACGAGGTCTGGCAGGATCATTAGGAAACTTATTTAACGAAATTCGTGACCAGTCAAAGATATAAACATTACCATCGCTGGAGCCTGATCCAATCACAAGTGGATTGGTATGCATATATCGTACGGTCAATGGATCCCCATCATGAAGTATACGTCGTTCCACTTTCATCCCAACTTGACTTGGAGCCATTCCATAGCCACCCACTTCACCAGTCGCATCACAGTAAGTATCATACGTGCGATCGAGTGTCTCTGCAGTGTGTGGAGTTGAAACTGAAAGCATTTGAATGTATGGTTGCTCCTGACCGCCGGTTCTAGCACAACATAAAACAGTCTGTGTTTTTAATCCCATCTTTTCCGTCACGTAAGGCATTAATCGAACTGATGGACTTTCCCACACAAGATCTATATGAACAAGATTCTGATACAAATCGCGCACATGCTTACGCCACGTACAAAACGTATCTGTCTCCTGATAAGGAACAGGACTCTGCTGTGAAGAATTCACTGAAGAAGTCTCCTTTAAAGTCTCTGGCGCGCCATTCTGTGGCGCTTCATAATCAGATTCTGCCAGCATCTTCTTATTAAGAATTAAAACAAGAAAAAAAAAAGAAGAAATAATTAAAATAAATAAACATCATAATATCTGTTTTAAACATAATCACTTCATAAATCACTAACCAGGAGATATACATATGTTTTTTTTTTTTTTTTTCTTCTTTTTCTTTTTTACTAGTAAGAGCATTATGTCAGTTTTATTTTGATTGTAAATCATATAGATATAGATAAAGATATATAATTCACATGTAGAAATTTCTACATTGATGTTTTTTTTTTTAAGAAATTTCTTTTGTTTTATTTTGACTTCACTACAGTGAACCACAGCTTCCAACAGACAAAGACCCTATATTCCCTTCGATATCCCTGCAGAATATCATACCACACATTTTGAGAAAAAAGGTCATTAAACGCAGCATCAATGATTCTTATATCCATTCTGAAAATAAGGAAATAAAAATACGCACTGTTAAGAGAAGTACCAGAGACCAATAATTATAGTAAGTTCAATAAGATGATAAAAATAAATTATTAAAAATAATAAAAAAAGCAATTCATTCAATGAAACTATTTCCATCTCTTCATAACCAAAGTAGCGTAGCCCAATTTAAAAGATCAAGACAACCACTTGACTTCGAAAAGAATAGTTTGCAAACTCTATTCATCGCTATACTCCATTACATGGAATGATCAAATAATGAGAGGGGTGAAGGAACACGCATGTAAAATACAACAGAAAAAAAAAAAGAAAAAAAAACATCCAAGATTACCATAAAATCAAAGTTATGTATTAACCCTCATTTTTTTTTTTTTTTTGACGTCCTATTGCCAACACACATTTTTCTTCTTCTAGCACCAACCATACCAAAAAAAAAAAAAAGAATGGTATGAACGAAGAAAAACAATAATAAAACAGTATCTATCCTACTAGAATTATTGTGGTGTGCAAACATTACCATTGTTTGACCCGTTAGACTGTTTCTCCCTGTTTTTGCCATTGGTGGGGGTATTAACTCTTCCAAAATCATCAAAAAGTGTGTCCCCCAGTTCCATCGCATCCAACTCACTCAGCACAATAGGGCATGCCACAAGCGGATAGATGCAGCCAGCCTCTCGCATCGGAAGAGGTGTTTTCACATTCATCCCGCACAACTCTAGAAGACTTTGTTGAACAAGTGTTAGAAACTTCTCAGGGGCATCAATGGCTGAAAACTCTCCAAAGTAAAAAAGTTCAAGACAGATCTCTCCTATTCCACAAGGAATGGATTGGTAGTGGAGCATATCCGGCAGACGGGCATCCCAGTAAGGAAATGATTCCGAAATGCCTGGATAGTGAATAGAAAACTTTTTGTCGCAACCCTCACGGCGCATCCCATGCCGAGCTTGAGAAAAAATCTGATATACTTGTGTTAGACTTGGATCGTACTTCTGTGCAAGTGAAGCCCCAGGCATTCCAGGTGGAGGAGGTGGTATGGAATTGGTATTTGTTCTTTTGGGAACAGCCAATGGAGGAGATAAATCTAAAAATACGGGACGCATCCTTGGTGGGAATTCACGAACTTCTTTTATTCGCTCATTAGAAACAGAGACGCTCTTTCCAAGCATCTGCATAGCTAAGATAAAGTCTTCATGAGAAAACTCCTGTAATGCATCATCGCCTCCCACGTCATCGTCATTCTCTTCTGACTGACGCAAGACATGAGCGGTGATGATAGGGTCATCCTCCTTCCCTACGCATCCCACCTCTTGTAGGGTTGTATAGTTCTCAAGGAGATGTTGATGGATAAGAATTACTTCACTAGGAATAAAACCGAAGCGAATCTGAATAAGGCCTTTAACCTCTAGAATAGTCGTCTTGGGGTTAAGTAATTCATCTACTTCATCAATCACCGACTGCATCCCAGTAACAAACCATTTCAACTTTATCTTCATTGGAGGAAACACTTGGTTACACCTTGATTACTATTATAAATAGAAAATGAAAAACTAAATAGAAGAACACAAGAAAAAAAAAAATAAGAAATATTAAACAATACGCGTAAATAAGGTTAAGGAAAACAGATACACAAACACAGACAAAGAGAGACAGAGAGAGAGAGAGAGAGAGAGAGAGAAAGAAAGAGACGTATTTTCTATATATACAAAGACGCAAAAAAAAAAAAAAAAAATTCTTGATATATAACTCGATAGAAACAGTGTACAAATACACTTTAATCACCCCACACCCTTTTTTTCTCTACTTGCTTTCAGGGGTAGTAGCAGTAGTAGTTGTGTATTTTTTTAGTAAAACCTGACAGCGATGCAATTCCTCCTCAAGTTTATTAATGTAGACCTCGTATGCCTGTTTTATTGCGTTGTGTTCTGCGTGTGATTCTTGCTCGAGAAACAAATTACGCTGCTGCACATCCCACAGGCTGCGCTGCAACTCTGCAATGAGACGGTCGGCCGCATCGTGTCGGGGTGGGGCCCGGGCGTTGAGTTGCATGCGAAGCATCGCGTTTTCGGCCCGGAGGCTCTCGAGTGTCTCGGGGATCTCTGCCATTAAATTGAATGGGAAAAGGAAGAGTAAAGAGAACAAAGGCCTCTCATCATGGGTGGAAATCAATAGCAAAGAATAGGAGTGGAAGAAGAGAGAAGAGGGAAGAGAGAAAAAAAAAAAAAAAGAGAGAGAGAGAGCAATATGAGATTGTGCATTCTTGAGGAAAATGTAAGAAGCCCAAAGACATATTTGTACATATACAAACATAGAGAAAGAGAGAAAAAAAAAAGGAAAAAATAAAGCAAACACAGATGCAAACGCACACACATACAAATATGCAGATAGATAAATAAAGAACTGATCAGTAACGTCTCCACTTATGATCACAAATATTGCATTGACAGAAGACTGTCATAGGCTCGTCTCCTGAGCGTGTTTGCCTCTGTGTCCATGTACAATCTCTTGCCTTGCAGGAAGGACACTGAAAAAGTGTTGACTTGGTAGCCGTTGCTTTTCGTATCTCTGATAAATCAGTATCTCTACTCCGTTCCAAAAAAGCTGCCTCCTGATTTCTTCGTTCTTCAGGGTTTAATAAGTCTCTTTCCTTCATCTGCACTAATACCTCTACCGGCAGCCGACCCTCTACAATATCATTTCGCAGCTTAGTGTTTTTCGCATCCTTTAGATTCACCAAAAGAACACGAAAGCTATCTGCAGCAATTGACCTGTCACCTGGAATAGCAGTTGCGATACGTAATGACAATGCGCTAATACGTGTTTCTTCATCCCTCTTGCGTTCTTGCATAAGTGCATCGCAGAGCAGTGAACTCCACTTAGTTAAACGAGTACATCCTTGTACACCGCCAACAAGCGGCTTTACAGTTGGTGTACTGGGTGTGGTGTTCTGTGTGTTGTTACCAGTAGAACTTGATGGTGAATGAAAAGCTGACTTTCGGATTGAAGGTAATGGAGTTCGTGGGGTTAACAATACTGGAGAACCTGCTCCGTCATTCTTTGGAGCTATACCCGAAGTAATTGGAAGAGATCGGGGTCGTTTGGTTCCCACTCTTTCAAGAACGTGATCCTCAGACATGCTTCCAAATACGCATACGAGTAGCTTTCTTTATTTTATTTATTTCTATTTCCTTTTTTCTTTCTCTACGTTTCCAAAAAAAAAAAAAAAAAAAAAAAAAAAAATCCTCTTAAGGGTAAAAAAAAAAATCAAAATGAGAGAATCTGAAACAAAAGAAAAACGGACAACAATCATAATCGTTGAACAAAAATAAGATTTGTGATGATGGGGATACTAATAATAATAATAATAATAATAATAATAA